GGGCGGAGGGGGGGGGGGGGGGAATTCTTCAGTTTTTAATAGGTATAGAATCGCTGAAATAAGTTTTCAGAATGGAGTTCGCCATTTCCTATGATTAATGAAAAAAAGCTAACATTAAAAATTAAGCACATCACAGTATACAAGCTTGCTTATGAAAAAGAATCTCAATCCTACTGTGTAACACTGACAAAGCATCTACTCTGCAGTAATATTTTCAAAAACCATAACGAAATAATAAAAATTATCTAAGTGCTTAAGTTGCTGTACGTATTGTACCTTGTGGTGCTCAGCGGTACTGAGGAGGGCTGCCTCTTCACCTTGTCCTAGCTGCAGTACTCCCAGCTGAGCTAAACCCTCTGGAGGCAGGAAGCTATTACTGTTACTCAGCTTAGCAGGCTCAGCCTGGGGAGCCTTCTGGGGGAAACCTGCACCCTAAATACAGTCTGGGAAACCCTTGAGTAGAGCAGGACATGCAGCAAAGCCTCAACAGCGAAGAAAAAGGGCAACCTCTTTGGGGATCTTGTTCAACTTTTTTTTGTTTTTGTTAATATTCTAAAAAACGTTGATACCAAGATCGAGAGCTCTCTTGTAGTCATTTGAAAGAAGAAGAGAGGGGAAAGGCTGTTTCACTCCGAATACTGGCCAAAGTGGGGTTCTACCAGAGTAACTAATTCACGAATGAGCTTGTGCACCACAGAAACCAGCAACAGCAGTACTGCAGCACAATGCAGATTTCATCTCTTGCTTCCTTCAGGCAGCTGCACTTCAGGGCCTTTAGCCTTACCTGTTTTGTGACTGTTAGCTACACTACACCATTTCTTAGAAAGCAGCTTTTGTAAGACAAAAGAAATCTACCAATGACTGTATTTTTTCGCCCAAACATTTTAATTTAGTAGTTGTTCTTCTCAAGCTGCTCTAAGGTTTTTCACATGCACAGGATGCCAAAAATGACTATGGGAAAGAATGGTAAGAGCAAGCAAAACTGCGGTGGGGCTGAAGCCTTCATTTGATAACTCTCATATCAATTTGGCCCGGCAAAGAATATCCATCTCACGTTACCCATCATATAATAGTATTTAACATTATAAATAGAATCAGATTGCTGTCCAAAATCCATTCCTTCATGAAAAAGAGGCAAACAAGGAAACAAAAACACCTAGAAAACATGACAGACATCAGAATACACTGCAGGGCCGTGAAGTCAGCGGGGACCTAATACATGTAGGCTCAGGTGCCTTGAATTGCATCATTAATTTCATGGGGAAAAGGCTGAGGTTCAAGTAAATATTTATCAGAGGCTTAAGTTGAGATCTTGCCTGATTAGTTGAAGTATATTTATGAAATAAGGGAAATAAACGGATATACATCCTTCTGTTCTGAATTTCACAGTGTGTTACGACACACATATCAGGAGTGCACCTTTGCCTCGTTTCTTAGCAGTTCCGTTTCAGTATGGTAGAGTTGTAATTTATTGCTGAAATGCTCTAATTCTTTCCGTGAAAGCTCAAAATGTGTTTATTAGCTGTTCAGTGTAACACTCTATGGGACTTACCTGGTTTTAACACTTTCTGCAACACTGCTAACATATTCTGCATTCACCTAAAGAAAAGAAGGGGGGGTTCATTTCAAGTCACCCATTTTTGTATTAAGCAAAATTTTGTAGGGAATATTTACATGCAAAAACTTCATTTTTATTCTCCAATTCTTTTCATTCCAAACAGCAGCAATATGTTATAGCAGCATTGCTACTAAAGGACAGTGTGAGGTTTTCAAGCCAACTGAACTTTCAATGTAATTGAAAGTAGAACTGAACTATGGTTTCTGCATTTTGTTTTTTCACTGCTTCTGCAGGAGGCCAAGCCATTTTCTGCATAAAATTCTGTTCTACAGCTTTCACTTATGCCAGAAAAGCACAGTCATATAACTTGTCAGTAAAAAGTGCTGTTTCAGATTAATCATCCAAAAATCACAAGAGGCCTGAGGCTGTTAAGAAAAGTCACCTAAGCAAAATTTTCTAAAGCTAGCAATACTTAAAATTTTTATTTAGAGTTTCTTCCTAATATAACAAACTTGTGGCACTTAGTCTGGAAATTTTGAGGACATACTTACTCATTGCTGCTGTTTCATAAAAATAACAGTTTTAGTGTGGAAAACACATCTGTTAACTATATTAAAGAGCGCTCAGTTTTATGGACTTTGAAAACAATACAATACCTGTCTTAACAGTTCAGATTTTTTTAAAAATACACAAATAATCATTACCAGCTATATATTAAATTTGTAGTAAGTAAAAAAGGTGCAGTGTGGTTAAGTAAAGAAATGTGATAAAAAAATACCAACAACTTTGAAACTCACTTTCAGTCAATAAGTTACTCTGCCTTAACCCATGATGTAAACATTTAACTTGATCTTCCGAAACTTTCTGGGAAAAAGGAAAGTGTGGATTCATGATCAGTGAACACACCTGCCACCCCTCTCATAATTAAATGTTCTTATCGCCTCTCATATCAGCACGATCAACCTGCTCTAATTTACTGCATGGCTGAAAAATGGAAGCTGCAAGAACGTGACTTTGGGGACGGGAGAAAGGGGAGACACTGGTTCTTAACAACGGCAGTTTAATCCTAAATTGGCTGAAATGGACTATTACTACAACCAAAGGTACTGTTTGTTAAAAGTGCCACGTTAGGACGGTCCACAGCGGGAAACTGTACTATTCAGAAGTTAACCCTTAAAAACCCAAAGAACTCTCTGAAGCCCTGTAATAGAAGGTTTCTCTGAATGGCAGCTAGGCAAAGCTCATCATTTCCAGGGTTCTTCAATGGGAAATAGCAACTGTAAAATAAGTTCAGCTCCTGAAAATTATGCTGAAGAGGAACTACAGCCAGTAAAATTGGGCCTATCTACTTACCATTGTGATCCAAACAGAAAAGTGGAAGTCATGACCTAACTTAATAAAGCGAACTATGTTCTGTTTGACACTATTACAGTTGCAAAAGCCGCTCTAAGTGATGACTGAACTAAAAAAGCAAACGTTAACTGTTAATGAATATATGTATGAAATTCAGTGTTGTTTACGGAAGGACAAAGAAATATGAAGAATAAATATGAAGTCTGAATAATTGCACAGTCTTTTTATCTGCAGGTAACTATTACTAGCTAATTCCCTTCTGTAGCTTTTTCCCAATGTGATCAAGACATTTTGGAATGAGAAAAAACTCATTTACCCCTAATATATTACCTTGACCATTGTTTACTCTCCCAAACATGGAACCGTTCAAGTCTCTGAACAGTTTTCTCTTTCACAAGAAATGCCAATACACATGCAGAAGGCAAGGCTCCAGCACGTCAACGTACTTTGCAAGATACAGGATATCAAAGCAGCAGATGAATAATCTGAACTTTTCGTTAGACTGAGTAAGTTTACTTTTTTCAGGTTCTATGAAACTTTTCCGTGGAGGATTTACATTTCATTCTTGAAGTACAATACTTTACTTTCAGAGACAAATAATGAGTTCATATGGTTTTATTTGAAAATCTGACTGCAACAACTGTGTTTGTAAATGTAATATGACTTTACCCTTCGATCATCTGAGTTACAGGGTTTTTTCCACATATGAACACTGAGGCACTAACTGCTCACTATCTCCTCCAGCCCTGAAGAAATCCGTCCCAAAGGCCCAGCTAACAGTATTTTGCAGCCTCTCCTACACTGTTACACTGAGACATAAATCTCCATATTGTCTTTCTATCAGCATACTGCTTCCATGCAAACTCACCTCTCCTACAAAGATGATTATTATGCAGTCGTTCTTTTGCTCTTCAGAAAGTTCGTACAGTAGAGAATGCAGCGTATTAATCAGATAATGTTGTTTTTCCCTTTTCACAGTAGGAATACCCATCACCAGTGAGACTGCAAAGAAAGAAGTCCACAAGCCATGTAATTTTAAGTCAGGTAAAGGGAAACTGAAATTACATTTTAATTTTGATTTGATGTGACCACGAGACTTGGTGACAGTTAATATTCCCATAGCACTGGGACAGCACTGGCTTTACTACCTGGAAGGAGAGATACCTCCAGCTAAGTTTAGGTTAGAGACACCTGTGTCTGTGTTATAAGCACCAGGTCTACACCGTGTAGACTGTCAACATTCGAGAACTTGGAGATATTAATACCTCCGGCAAACACAAAGGTATCTGCTATTGAGTTTCAAAAGCGGGTATTGCAACATAAGTGCTAGCTCTTGGTATGGAGCTGGAGATCTGCGTAGTAAGAGTTAAACCAACACTGCTTTACTGAGCAAGTTGTCACAGGAGGTGAGCGCTGTGGAGGTGAGCTCAGAGAGGAATCCAAAAATCAAAATCTCAAAAATCTTTCTGAGCAGTTTAAGTGATATGAGTCCATGGCTTTGACATAATCAATAATAAGAAAGGAACTTAGACTTTGTTATTATTATTAAGAAGAAAGGAACTGAAATTGTCTCTGGCAGACTCCACTAGTAGCAAAACTATGCTATATTACATCATTGGATTGTAAGCAGGACCTCTCTTTTTTCATTGGAGAGGGCATTACTGAAGTCAGTGACCTAATATGTCTCAGTAAACCTGTAGAATTCTTAGTCCTTGCAGAATATTCCTATTCACCAAAACGTCCTGAGGCTGGTAAGGAAGCAGCAGATTTTGAAGGAAAGGAGTAGGTGCAGTTAGTGACTTGCTCCAGACTTCATCATTTGTGCTAGCATCAGCTCAAAAATGCCAAGTTCCAACGTTCCTTCCCAGCACATAACCGGCTAAACCACGGGGGTTTTGTTTGATTTTACAGGCTGAAGGTCAACCTGTACTTGTTGAAGTGTGGTCTTGCTATTGTAATTTTCATGTACAAATAAATGAAAATTAAACATGCAGCAAATGCAGCATTCTTTTATTACTTACTACTTTTCTTCCTTTTTGGGTTTTCGGGGTTTTTTGGGTTTGGGTTTTTTTTTTTTTTCCCTTGCTTGCTTGTGAATGTATCTGGTTTTCTGAGGTGGTTTTGCAAATCATTTTGCTGACTGCCTGTGGTCTTTTGTATACTCACACTGATCTGTGGGGTCATAGATCTCAGTCCAGTGAGAACCACAGCACAGCACTACTCCAGCAGAACCACTAGCCCATGTCATGGGCACGGCCAAGTTATTTTTTCAGTTAAATCAAAAGTGCTGCCAATTTTTTTTATATAAAATCACTCTAGAGAAAAGTCAAAATTTCTACAAAATACAAAACTCAGCAAAATAGTCGACTAATTCCTCATTTGCTTATTGCTTTTGAATGTTCTTTTTACCTATCACATGACAATTAGGAGAAGATGTAACTTAATCATTTGTATTACAGTTCACTGGAATTCACTATGATTTGTGCAGGTGTCAGCTGATTTCTCATGTGGATGAAAAAGTTGCACTGAAGATTTATTAATATCCTTCAAATGATCACATCACCTTTCCATTTGCTTCTAACTTTAGCAAACCGTGAATTTTAAGTTCTCCCTGGCTTCCTTACTCATACTAATTTTGTAACTAACTAAAATATACTAACTAAAAATGTCAGCTAATGCATCTTTGCCACATGAATCCATGACTTAAGAACAAAAATAATATTGCTTTTCAGTTATGACTATTTTTTGTTGATATTTGAAAAGGTTTATCAGAATACTTCGGGGAAGACTTGAAATCGGGATGGGAGTGGTAAAAGTGCTTTTGCCATCCCCCTGAAAATTTATTCAGTTTGGCAACATTATAAAGTTTAAGGAGAAACCCCCTCCGAACTTTGCTTCATTGCTAGAACTTAATATAAAATATAAACATATAGAAAATATAAGCCAAACTTTATTTCCTACCTCCAGTTCTCTGTTGCCCAAAAATAACATTTGGGAAAATGGCATCTTCATATTCTCGAAGGTGAGGTAGATAGTAGTACATGTTTGTAAGATGCACGGGGAGTTTTCTGGTGAAGTTTAACACTTGCCACTTCATACCATCTTAAAGAAACAACAAACCCACATATAGCCATAAAATAAAAAGCCAGCAGTGAAGCCTAGTATTTCTACTGTTTTCCTCAACTGAATACTAGCAGATTACCACACACAAGGTTATTCAATCAGAACTAGTCCTCAGAAGTGATTGTATGTCATATATATCACCCCCCTGCGGTAATAAACTGAGAATCGCCCGGTACAACCCCCCCAGGCAGGCGATGGTGCAGAGCCCCAAGCCTGAACGTCCTGGGAACTCCGCCTGCATTTCCTGTGCCTAAACAGTCGCAGGATCGAGCCACCTTAAAACACAGTAAGCAGTTATTTTAAAAGCAGCAGGAAAAAAGCTCGTTTGTTTTTTGCACAGTTGGCAAGCAACTTTTTCAATGAAAAGAAACACAGATTATGATTAATAACTTTCTTAATTACTTAACAAACTTAAATGCTTTCCCCAAGATGTAACACATGGCAGTTTTCAGGGCTCAAACAGAAGTTCTTCGGTTATAAAAAGTCCTATGGCAAAAAGGACAACCAGATCCAGGCCTTTCGAAACTATTTGAGAAACAAAAGACTGTAGTAGTTAAGAGAAAAGTAGGGAATACATATTTTTTCTTTACTAGTTTAAAATAAAGATGAAAATAATTAGAATATTTATTCATGTTGAAATAACTCAACTGTGACCTTATAAAAATAATCCTATTTTTAAAAAATAATCCATATAAAAACCAGACACCATTAATTCACTAATTTATCTTCCTTGTTATAAACAGTCCTGAATGTTCCAGTGGTGGTAAAAATTCTTTAAAATAAATTTAATAAAAACTTGAACAACTTAATTATACAATCATTATAAAATCAATTATAAGCTTGCAAAAAAAATTGTGCTTAATTTAAGATGGGGGCAGAGATGATATGCACCATGCAGTTTTTAAAAAGGTATTTGAATGGATTAAAATGAAGACTGTATTTATGAAGAATAGCAAAGGGTCTTTCTAATGTTTAAGAAAACTGCTTGGAAGCAAAACTGAAGATCACTCCAGACTTTATTTACCAGTTGTCTAAAGGCTTAAATCTTGCTTTCCTGACACAGGCAGCACGTGGCTCTCATACTAGAATTTCGTCTGTCATTCTCTGTTGCTGCATTTTTCTGTACCCTACTAGCTACCTACAATGCGTATGTCTTTTTGCCCTGAAAGAAAAATAAAGCTCCTGTGAATTTATCTAAGGGAATTCATACTTCAGCGGGTGCCTCCTCCAGACACTTTATCAGTTGTGCAAGAGGCCGGTGCTAGGGCACTCCGTGGTATCAGACCACCACCTCAATTAGTTTTAGCCAACAAAATCACGTTAGCAGCCTTCCAAGCTGCAGAAAACTTGAAAACTCACAGTTTCACAGTCAGCGAAGCAACAGGTTTATCGACTTAGTTGGAAAGTTATTTTTCCTATGAAATGCATCTAAGATAACTCCCCAAATTTACCACCCTTCAAAGTTACTTAAAACAAGTCTTACAAATGACCATCATCAGCTTTATTCACTCAGCTTGAAGAGTGAAGACAGAGGCTTACTGAATGGGCAATATTTGTCTGAAGTTTTTCAACTTCCAAAAGATATTCCCACTGAAAATCAGGACTTGACAGAGATTCCCCACTCCACAGAAAAATTAAAAAAAAAAAAAACAAAAACCAAACACATATGGATATATATATGTCCAGACATTTGTGTATGAAAGAGAGACCCCACAACTCCTCCCACTCTGCTTTGCCATTAAATAAACTGGAATTTTGCTGCACAGAAACTTTTTTTTTTTTTTAAACCACCTTCATAACTTTTCAAGGACTTTCCATTTTTATTTGGAAGTAGTATCTATCAAGGATTGGGCAAGGGACTTTAGTTTTATTGCGTACAATAAACCTTTTCATTTTTGTTGTACAATAAAATTTGGCTGGAATGGGAAGCAGAAGATTAAGTAAAAATAAAAGGAAAACTATTCAGTGATTTTAAGAAATTTCTGCTTTGAATCCTGTGAATTGACAGCTTTAATACTTTCTGATATTCAGCTGGCTCCAATAAGAATGAAGAGCAGAGGGAAGGGGAACTTGCACTCTCTACTGCTGTTATGTGCATTAGGCAATACCTCTTTGTCCACAGTATGTGGGGCTACTGGTAGTTGACAACATGGTCGCTATTCTAGAGCTTGTAAGGCCACAACCCTGCCAACACTCAAGCGTTTGTTTATATGCGTCTGAACAGTCCCACTAAATTAATATCGAATAAACAGACGAAAAGAGGCAGGGAGGAACAGGCTAAGCAATGAAGGTGACTACACAAAGCATTTTCTCTTCTTCCCCTGTAACAATCCCGGTTAATTCCCTATTTTAATCTGATACCAGCCCGCTGTACTGAATGCAAATAAGGACTCTTAAAAAGTAGTTTTCAGTAGCATCCAGACTCTTTTTGAAGTCGGGGTGTGTTGTGGAATGCCTCCAGCGCAGAGATGCCCCTTCTAGCTTTCCTTCTCTCCCCAGGGAAGTAGCTCTTCCAATCTGAACAGGGAGGAAGGCAGATCCTGCACTACTACATCATTTCTTTTAGGGGACAGAATCAAACTGTCTAATCTATTGTATGCAACTACAGTGTGCAGATAGATGGGGATATACAACAGCCTGTAAGGCAAGGATCTAATATATTCTTAAATAAATAAGTTTAATTAAACCATGGGAAGAAGCCAGATCACTAGAGTAGACTTAATTGCACGCTGGTGTCCCTCAAAGGTTTTCTTTTTTTTTTTTCTTCTAATTGGCATCACTTACAAGCATTCCTTCAGATTATTAACAAACTACTTGCAAGATAAAACTAAATTCTAGAGGGAATATTCTTAGGCTGTATCAGGGCAGCACGACCTCATGGGGCTTCTCAGCTCCTGGGTTCAGGCAAGCACCCAGCTGTATGTGGTCTGCCTGCTGAGATGAGACTGCACACCCACCACGCACACCTCAGTGCCTGGGGTCCACTGGCAGGATGGCAGAGCACTCATGGCCAAAAAGTCCCCCCAAAAAGTCACTCCACCTGGACAGGAGGGGTACCAGGACTGTAGAACGTCTGTGGAGGTGTACCTGCCTTCCAGGTTAGACATAGCCCTAGTAGTTATCAGGGTGTAGTGGCACAGTAAAAACTAGTAAAAATAGCTTATTCAGTGCCCTGTAGTTGGCAGCAAGTGAGGAATAAGCACTGTAAGAAACTTGATTAGCAATATGTACAGCTTTGCTATATGACACCACTGCCATCTATTGTGTTCCCTTTTTTTTTCCTCTCCTTATTAATTTAGTTACTAACTGATCCTATTTAAAGAGGGGCTACAGATTACTTCCCCACCCTTTTTTTAAAGTAGAAACTTCTACCTAATGCTAACGTAATCAAATCAATGATTTTTCTCCCCACACCAGTGATAAAGAAACGTGAGCACACAAAACTTTGAACCATTAACACAGTACATTTTTATACATACAAACCTGTATGATTTGTCAAGTTCATTCTTTTTGCAACTACACGTTTAATTTCATCTAGGGCGCTGCTCAGTTCGTGTGATCTTTTTTTATTTTCCTTTTCAGCATACAATAGTCTTTGATGAAGTTCCAGCAACTGGCTTTGGTACATGTCTAAGTCATTTCCTGCAATGAGAACATAATTTCTTTTCAAAGAGGTGAATTATACTGTGGCATAAAGAGAAAGTTTAAGAATAGGAGATGGTCCAGAAGAAGACATGACCAGAAGTGTAGAAACAATAATAAAAGAGGCCGCTCAAAGTTTATTCATGGAATGAAGAAGTCTGGAAGAGTATTAAGAAGTAGAGTTTAGGGAGCACAGCTGGGTAAAGGCTTGCAATTGAAGACAAGAACAAGAATATGACATCCATAATAAGGAAAAAGTCAGTGCAAGACTATGAGGTGCAGGGGAAGGTGCTGTCCAGTAAAGCCAACAACATTTTTCACTAAGTGACAAATCTTGATGACCCTTGTCACATTGAATAGTGTAACTGTGTAATGGCTTGTCTTTTGCATAAAGCACTATTAAGATTACAATACAGGTATTAAGGTATTCAGTCTTCATCTATGAGTTAAAAAGTGCCTGGAGTATATTAAGAACTATTAGTAAAGATGGTTATTTGAACTCCTGGATGTATTTAATTAGGTAACAACCGAAACTGTGCTCTGGATTGAAGGATACCTTCATAATATATAGCCCACCTTTGATGAAATACTCTACAATCATATCGCTATTAGAAACACCGTACTCTCAGTCATGGTTATCAGACACCTCTGCTGTTCTGCAGAGTATTCTCAGATAATGTCAATATTATGTTTACAGAAGATCCGCTTTCCTAAGAAGCGGGTACTGTCAGAACTTCTCAGTTACCACAGATGATATACAGGACTCATACCTGTCAGTGCTTCCACTGCCTCATTGCCACGTGAATAAAGATTGTTAGACTTACTAAAATTAATATAAGGTAACACTTCAATAATGTCACTCACTTTGCAATAGGAAGTAAAGAAAGTAGAGGGCAGAAGGGGACTGCTACTTCATTTAAAAATGTTTTATAATGCTTTTTTTATTGGTGGAGGTTTTTTTTAGCTAAATGCTGTTATCTAGACACTTCTCCCATTCTATTTGTGGACTGTGCTGAGTCCCATCCTTGGCAGGACTCATTTTCTAGGACCCACCATTGTCTCTCAGCAAAAGTGAATTCCTGGGGATTCTAGCCTGTAAAAGAGACTAAGAACAAAATGCACAGGTAATACAAATCTGTGAGGATTTGCAGAGGCATTTCAAACTGGAATTAGTTTGCATTTTGGATAAACAAACAGGTTGGGTTTTTTTGCAGTAAACACAAGTCCTTAATTTAATCAATAAGTGTATGATTGGAAGGCCCCAAAGTTTAAAACCTCTAGGAAGAAAGTAGTTAGAAAGAAGAAGTTAACATGTGATCTGTATTATTATTATTATTATTGGTCTCATTAAAAATTTAAAGTATGTTTAGTAAAAAGCCCATAAAATGAATGTTTCCTCAAATTTTTTGACAGTCTTAAAAATGTTTTGACTTGCAAGAAAGGCATTCATATCTAGGAGTATTCTGTACTATGCATCTATGAATGTAAATTTAGCGTTGTTGAAGGGAGGGGAAAACTGGATTATTTCAGCTGCGTGCAACAAGAAAGTTCTACTTTACTGAAGTAAGCTTCCCTAAAAAATAATCAGAGAATAAATAAATAAATGGAAGGTCAAATGAGGAAACAGATGTAGAGTCCATCTTCTAACAACTGCAGGGGAGAGGTTAAAATAGATTTCCAATACAAACCTGTCATGAGGCATCAGGCTACAGAGCTAGAACCCCAAGCGAGCTAAATTATTGGAGCACCTAAGGAAGATTTCTTTCATCAACTACTATGTAGGAATATACTTTCTTGTTTTACGCTTTTCTTTCTCAATGTGTTTCCAATGCTATAATCCATCCAACCTTTAGCTTTTTGCTTTAGAATGTATACAAATAAAAGGGAAACAGAAGATTTAAACCGATTTAGGTGACTGACAGACATTAATCATACTGTTTTCATAGCAAGAAAGTGATTCCAAATAGAGCATCAATACATGTAAACACGGTGGAGATTTATCTTGCAATTCCAAGACAAATTCAGAGGCATAAATTAAAGATACAGCAACGGATGTGCATTTTTCTTTAAATTCCGATTGCCTTTATTAGGAGTTAGATAGCATCAAGCGCCAAGAAAAAGTGGAGGTTTAACCTGCAGTAAAGTTCCACGTGCTCCTGGGAAGATGCAAACAACAAAGAGCAAGCCCGCAGTCTTAGGATAAATACAGGTTATCACAGGATGCAACTTACTGCTTCTGAAAAAGGAATAAATCATTTTGTAATGGAGGTGTTTCGTAATTAAATGCTGGAAAGTGATGTTCCACTGACATTTCCAGTGCTGTAACAGCATAAGATTTTGCTAAACCAAACTAAAATTCCCCTCAGTACAACTATATTATAGGAGGAATCAGTAAAGAAATTGCAGATGAGTAATAACATTGTAGTCCCTCGCTTTACAATTCTTTCAGCTAGTCAGTGTGACTCAAAACTACCAGTGTCACTACTGGGCTGACATTTTGGCAAGCACCAAGTAATTGTAGTTTTATTTGCTTACTTCCAGGTGAGCCTACCAAAATATCATAGTTGCCTCTGGCAAAAAAAAGGTCAATACTCAGCTACCACTGAGTGCACCCAAAGAAGCTGACTTTTATAATTGGCCTTATCTATTTCTTCAGGCCAGAAGAGGGAAACCACATATTTGAGTCTTTCAGAATTGAAGCCTCTGTTCGGTTAGTAGAACAAGATTCTTAGTAATTGCTTATCTCATTCTATTCGACAGCTGGAGAAGCAAGGGTTTGACAAAAGGAACGTAGTATTCACTCACCCTTAGCAAACAATGAGTCGGTTACTGTTCAAAATAGAACATGAAATGTTCTAAGTGTTATGAGAGCATATATAAATGAGCAATACGAACTATTTGTAAACCTTTGGCAAAAAATGTGTGTTTGGAAAGCAGTGCTGAAATTTTTGTATTTTGCCATGCAATAAGGTACTGTCATGGACAGTATTTATTACCTATATAATTGTAGCAAGCTAAGAAGATAAAATTAGAAGCATGATGAAGCTAAATAAATATTTAAATGGTCATTAAGTTTAAATGGGTTTGTGTGTGTGTGTGTGGAAAGTGTTGCTCTAAGGATCTACACAGAACTAAACCAGCTGCTTGCAATAGCTTGCTTGGAAAGCAGCTGACAGGGCGTTTTCACAAATACAGCTCACTCTAGCAAGGAGGGCCAGGAGAAAGGAGCTTTGGCTGTATCATGAAACGCTGTTTGTCCCCAGCAATGGCCTGACTTGGCAACACCTCGTCGACCAATGGTTCCATCAGCAATGGGGAGTGTCAGGATTAAACTGGAAAATAGGGAGATGAGGACCTATGGCAAAACTACAAAAAGTAAATGAAGGTGAAGGCTTCTTTTCCCCTTGGTGAGCTGAAGATGAATCACTCTGCTGGGCTAAGGAAACCCTACTAGGAAATTTCAATGGGATTACACTGGCTACAAGCCAGGGGAGAAAAAAAACCAACCACCAACCAGACTCAGTGATAGCACTCAAAGCTTTTGCAACGAATTTTCAGCTCTACTACAGCATTTCCTCTGACTGTTTACTACACGTTGTCATATATACCTATGGCTACTGTAATTCTAAGATGGCAATACTTAAAATGGTTTTAAATGCAATCTTGTGTTATCTCCTAATAGATACATATATATAACTTTCCGTACCAGAAACTGAAACTGTTTAGAAAAAATACTAATCTCTAAAGCAAATACTCATTCTGAAAGTCAACCAATTATTTCTCTTAGCTCCACGCATGCATACTTCCTATTATCATACATGCTTCCAGTTTTATTAACAGTTGATTTCTGGCAATATCTAAGAGCTGGGGAACAATTCATCACTATCTCCTCCTAGCATTCAAAGAAAAAAGAAAATAAAAGGAAATTGGGAGTGGCAGAAAGGAGGGAAGAAAACACCCCATAGTCTAGCAGTGACTCTTGCTCCTATTTCTTGATCATGAGCTATACTGCTTATCATACCTAAAGACACTTTCTTTTAGAAAGTGAATTTTGGTTAATGCCCCCTTTAAAAGAAAACTATATAAGCACACTAACTGCAAAAGGTCTTGTCATACTCCACGCTTGGAACCACTGCTCGCTGTTCAGGTTAATGAAGCATGTTAAACCATCGAGGCATGCATTGCACTAACAACTGTGGCGGTTTGTTATCTTCCCATAACTGATCTAAAATAGACCTTTCTAAATCTTGTTACATGCTTTGCAAGCTTGGGTTTTGTTCTGTCAGAGTAAGGAGGAAAAAAAAAATCCCCTGAACAATGCCTGTGTCTTAGTTCAGACCAGCCAGTTCTTATGCAAACACTTAAATTCAACAATGTGCTAAAGTCTAAGGATATTTAAGCACCTTTCCCAGTAAGGACGCCTTCCTGAATTTGTGCATGACCTTTAAATATTTTGTTTATAGCATTACAGCACAGAATTATTTGGGTCTCCCAACAGGTTAGAGACAGCCAAGAAAAACTACCATAAAGTCAGAAGCTGCTTCACCCGCACTGGGTACATTCACCCATTACTTTTAATGTTTGTCAGAACTGGGGTAGCTTTAATTGTTGAGCTTTAAGCATAGGACACAGCATGTCTTAATGCAGATCTTAAATCTTCAGGAGCCTCTGAAGCCAGTCAGTGCTGAGGGTGGTTTATTTTGCACAGTTGAAAAGGGAAGATTAAGTGAGAGGTTAAGAAGCTTCTAATCGTTTCCACTCATCTGTCCTGTCAGTGCTCTGATGGCAACTGGGCTGCAGGGGCTATTGCTATGGCGGATGGCAGAGGCTACAAGTAGGAGGAGAAAGATTAATTTCAGCCAGGCACAATTCTCAGCCGGCTGGCTGAAACCTTTGCCCGGCTGTGATGCAGCAGTATCAAACACGCAGGCTTGGTAAGCCAAAGCACGAGGCTTAACATGCAGCGAGGACTCTCTCACCATGTTT